TAGATATGCGTATGCATATACTGATATGATGATTTATCAATCACATATTCAGCATTAAGTTATCTTTTAAAATTTTAATTAATTGACACCAGTTACTTTAAAAACTTAGGCAGAGATACAAGTCATTCAATTCAGCATTCACTGACTAATGAATTTATATTATACTAAAATATTTTATCAAGATGAAAGAAAACAGTGAGGAAAAAGAATAGTTAGAGACGAATTTTGTAAGTTGAAAAATAAATTTAGAAATTATGGTATATCTCAGTAATCTCAGATAGTTGAAGGAGCACTACAAAAGTGATAACATCATTCATAGTTATATATATATATATATATATATATATATATATATTCTTAGGCTGATTGTTTTAGGAAAATCAGATATAATTTTAATAGGTGAGTTAAAAGAAATAACTCCAATAGTAATAAGAAGTAAGAATAAACAAACTAGTTTATTTGCTATGAGATATCCAGTGAAATCATAATGCTAATTATGTTTGCTAAACACTCGAAAAAATTAGGATTTATGTTAAAGTAATTATATAATTATGAAAAAGTATATCAGTATAAGCACTCATGTTATAGCCGTTAGTAATTTCTTAAGATAAAAAGCTAAGTAGGCACTCAACTTTAGTGCTAGTCTTGTTAGTTTAAACTGAGTTAACTGGCTACAAGAGGATGTTTTTAAATCCTAGCTATTCGTCGACAAATATTCATCAAAGCTGAGGAAATGTGGTGCTTGAATGAACCAATAACTCCTTTGTACTGATGACTATTTGATTTTGAATTCCAAGTACAGTACATTCGTTCGTGCTCATGTAACACTTCTTGATTGAATTACGTTGTTTCTGGGATTACTAGTTTATACTATAATTTAAATACTTCAAATCATCACAATGGCGTCGTGATGGAGCCTGTGATGGGACGGTTGGATATACATTCACATTTTAATGCTTTTGAGGATAACATGGAGATGTTCGAAATCTGGGCTATGACCAAGGAAGATGTTGAGGATTTCAATATTGTGGCTCTTTTCCTTACATTCATAGGAAAGGAAGCATACAGCTTAATAAAGACTTTGGCATTTCCAGACAAACCGATTCCACTCCCTTATTCAACTCTTAAACAACTACTGTTGGATCATGTGAAGCATACAAATTTCGAATGCGGTAAAGGGGAAAAGATTACAAAAATGTTTCGTCAGGATATCAGGAATTCCACAACTTTACTATGTTGTCGCAGTCCAATATGTGATCAAGGTTATTCAGATAACAATTCACTAAATTGTAAAACAGTTCACGAAGATGAGCACAAGTTTGGTAAATGCTTGTTCTGTGGCAAGTTTCATTCACGTAATTCATTTGTATTTCATAATTCTGAATGATTTAAATGTGGTAAATCTGGACACATTCAGTCAGTTTGTAATACCATGGTTTATTTTGATGAAACAAATGCTAAAATTTGGGATTGTAATCCTACTAATTTGGATTTTTCTAATGATTACTTATCTTTATCCAAAACTTCTAGAAGCAGTATAACGTCACATAGCAGTCTAGAGTTGAATGAAACCCAGAATCATTGTGAGAAAAATTTTTTAAGCCAACTTCTTATCAGATTTCTCATGTTATTGTACCAGATGTGGTTTGTCATAATGATTAACATATTTCTGATGAAATGTCTTACAACTCTGAGAATAAAATGTTGAATGAGCCAAATTATGATCAAAAACCATATTCAGTTTTGGCAGTTGCTGATTTTTCTAATGATCCATTATTCGTTAATGAAATTTTTAGTAAATTTGAGGGAAATATTTCAGAAAAACCAAATTCTGATGTCATATCAAGTATCAGTGGTCCTCACTATGAATTTATCTCTAGTGATATTCTCAATGAATGTGACACATATATTCCGAGTGGTTCAAATTCTAGTCATATTTGTGATGTTATCGTATCAAATGCTGAATATTCTCACGAACAATGTGTGTTGAATAGAATCCCTAGGCAGTGGTATGATGAATCAGAGGGAATAGCAAGTTTTCCTGAAACAATCAGAAAACCAGTTAGCCCAGATATGGAGTTTGCATGGGCAGAGAATCCAACATATACGATACGGCTCCTAGACTCGTAGTACCTCACACAACAGCCGACACACACCTTGATACTTCGTCAACATCAGAAAATAAACCTAAAACAACGCGTACTGGAAGAAGAGTAAGATTTCCAGAACATCTAAATGACTATTGCACGTAGGACACAAACTTTATCTTGAATCCCCTTTGCATTATTTATTATAAAAAAAAGAATTATTTTAATATGCTTATTTTTATATATTTATTAAAAAAACCAATTTTTTTCAAATCGCTTTTACGCTTTCGCAAGTGTATTAGTTTATTTATTTTTTTCCGCTCATCTTGCGTCCTTACGCAAGTACGAGTGCATTTTCGAAATGCACACACACGTTCTATTTTTTTCTTTTCCAGGACGTCTGGAAAAGAACGACGAAGTTTCACAAGGAACCGAAATTTTTATTATACTTTATTTCTTTATTGCTATGTTGTACCTCATGGTCCCTTAGTGTAAGGAAAGACGACCAGACGCTGCAAAACATAGCAAGCCATCAGAAGAGTGTTTGCCTACGACATACTCGTTGGGTTTAAACTTCTGGCTGTTCACGTCTTAGGGGCATCATTACCTCACTAGGAGGGGGAGTGATCTGTAGCTGTAAATAATTCCCAAAATCAATAGCTTTCTAAGTGTTCGACATTGGATGGCAACGACGTTGTTTAAGTGGACTCGTTTAACTGAAGGCTCTCAGTCATGCATCCGCACCAGATCATGTTTCGATCCAGCGTGGGACACTGCTCCTACGTTTACTAGCCAGCTTAGAGTAAACGCTTCGCGATATATTGATAACGTATCAAATATATCTGACTTCTGAATTCCATTGGTCGAGGGAAAGCTTCGTATATAGAAGGTGCTACTGGTAGCAGGTTGTAAGATCAGAATACTAGTCGTATCTTCAACATATGTGGATACATCGTGCTACTTGCCCCTTACAACTATTAATCAGCTTAGACCAAAAGCTCGACATAATTATAGTTTTCCAAATTTAATTCTAACTCCTTCATTTCTGAGTCCTGATTTGAATGAGTTGGTATACTTTGATTGCAAAGGTGTTACGTGTGAAGGAATTTCCAAACTCTGATTACCTGTGGTATTTTTGTACTAATACGGTTGTAAATAAATTATGCAGTTCTCTTGTCTTTTTTCACATGAAACACTTATTTAGTAAGATTTTCTTGACTCCGTCGTGACACCAATGTAGCAACCGTATCTAGATGCCATGTCAGGATTATCCGAATTTAGCATTGACCGCGAGGTTCAACCTCGATTTTAACTGGGAGCTCATAATAAAATTTAAAAGCTCTCCGAGTTTGTTTGTTCGAATGATCACTCTTGTTTGATGAAATTAATGGAAACCTAAAAGCTTTTATATAGCTTTAGAAAGAAAAAGCTAGTCGCTAAGTTCAGTTCTGACAATATTAAAAGGGATTAATTTTGGTGTTTCTCCTCGTTAACGGCCACGAATATTGAAATCTACATAATTAAGAACGCTCTCCTACCGTCCTGACACATCTTAAAAAACTCTTCGCTTATGCTTTCGTAATCCAGGTAACTTGATGGCATCAAACCTCCAACGTGGGCACTCAAAAAGGACTAGAGATAATAAGATTAGGATCTGACATACCATTCATACTCCATTCCGCTTTAGCCGAATAATAGTGCTTTGTGGCCAAACTACACTTACGAGGGCATTGTAGTACAACTGCTTTTCAACTGTACGATCTTCGGAGCCGAACAATAACTGATATGACTCACATTCAACATCTAACACCACAGAGAAAATCGGGTATGGTGAATGCGGGAACACAGAATCAAAATGGCATAGCTCGGACATGCAGGCGTAGTCACTCTGAGACTCGTTCCTTGTCATATTAGATGTACTATTCAATCTCCAGCCTAAACGTGTCTTTCTGAAGTGTTAAATATCACATCGCTGATTGTCACGATAGGACGAATCACTATAGACAGTTATATGACTTCCACGTAAGATCACATAGATAAGGTAGCCACACTATGATAAACCTACAACTTTGGTATTGGGTCTATTATTATAATAGTCTAGATAAGTGTACCTATACCGAACTAGACTATAATCCCACAGCATCACTTAATGTGAGGAATCTAGGTGAAACAATATATATACGTGAGAATTTTCCAGGTGGTAGAATCTATAGACTGTGGAATTTACCACAGTAGAGGTTACTGACAATGTATTTTGTTGATTTTCACGTAATTATGGTAGATATATATCATGGATCTGATAAGGCTGATGAATGGCACTGTCGATATGACTTCTCAACCACTTCTATCATTAAGCATAGATGGATAGTGTCTAGCAGTGGGATTTAGTATGAGCCTTTCGTCCTATTCGGGACTCGTCAGCTGAATGTACCTGCATCTCAGGATTGATGTTCTTTCTGAGACTCGAACGTAGAACCGTTAGCTTCAAACGTCACTGAGTTATCAACTTAGCTACTGAGTTCTGGTAGCCACCTGCTTATATAATGGAGCGAAGTTATATTCACTTTGTGTTGTTTGCTTGTATCTTCCCATTGTTAGTTAGGACAATATCGAGGAAGTCTGCACAGAATGCACCTATGCCAACAAGAGACTGACTAATTGCAGTCTTAAAGAACATTTAGAAATTACGAATATGCAACATCTAGTGAATGCACTTCTATTATTTCTCAACGTTTTTACGATTAGTTTTGAAAGGTATACAGAAGGAATGATAACTCATCGTAACCAAGGATATTCTATTGAAATGGATGAATAGTTGATCATCGCTTCCCAAAGCGTTGGAATTTTGATATGTGGTGAGCGGGTTTAGGATAAGTACGCTACGCCTGGGAATATGTTACAGGCCTTCTATTCATGGGCAACCGGTTAGCTTGTTGTCGCCAAACATGGATAGAATTTCGTGATGAAGGTGAAGAAGATTGCAAGGATCACTCATTACCTCGAGTTTTTGGTCACCAGAATAATGGTGCTGATTTTTCCGAAGAGGATAATGGATTAAAAGTTGAAAATCGTGAATCCTGGGTCAGTTGTACACTTATTAGTGTACCTGAGAAACCTTCCGTTGCATATAATTTAACACAACACATAAGTGAGCGGGAACCAGAAGGTTTGTGACCTATGGGTCACATTTATTATATTAATGCACCATAGATGTTGAGTTTGACCCATCACTTAATGCCTCACAACATACACTGTTTCTTTCCGGCATTACACCTAAATCTCAGAGTAAGTGAAATATTTTTTACACTAAGACCTAGTAGTAGAATTTTCCAGGGACCTGACGGTATGTTGTAAATTTATTTATGGTTTACGCGACATCAGCCCAAGTCTAGGAAAGAGGCTCCTACAGCCTTTTCTATTAAACGGTGGAGTTCTTGCAGTACTATATATGTTGGAGATGGCTATCTGGCTCGTCCTGATGTGAATGATATTGTATGGAGTGTGTCAGTGGCTATTCAACTTCTTATGTGCAGTGATCTCAACAAACACTTTTCAAATCTGTTACATAAACCGGGTGTAAATTCATATCCCGACTTCCTGCAGGATATGTATGAAGAAGTGTATAAAAATTTCGATGAACGAGTCTACCCCATTGAGGTATGTCTAAGAGGTCTGTCTGTGCATTATTCCAAAGTACCTTACCCTCTTTTTTCTCTTCCCATTCTCATTGTTTTTTGTGGCGCATATATATCCGATGCCCCCCTGTACCAATATTTATGTGTTAAAATAAATAAATGTGAGGGCTAGCGGTACTACTCAGCTGTCCCAATCGAAATTGGTGGAACTAAACTCGAACCTGTGTGCCAGTAGTTTAAAGTCGGACAGCTCAACCACCAATCCGTACTTCACGAAAATATGAATAGTGTGATGGAGATGCGTTCATTTAACGAGTTCTAATTAAAACCAAATTTGCATTTTGAATTTCGCCATTCACAGTTGTATAATATACCCTTGTGGGCCAAGGTAATTTTAGATTGGTTTTCAAGAGAACCAGACTCACATGACAACCCAAACAGTACATCTCAATCTCGTTTAACAGGAGAGCCAGACACCATTACCTACCACAAAAATATATAGCTAAAATAACCAAAAGAAAGGAAATTAAATTATATTTAATCCAACAATCATTGGAACCTAAAAGCAGTACACGTTAATACATCCAATCACTATTTCTCATGTACAGAAACACTGTGTGGCAGTGAGGATAAAATATTTCTAGTCATTAAGCGTAAACAAGCGGGTAATTAGTCTATTAAATATGTGATTTCCTTCCCTGTTGTTTATTTCCATTCTGCTGAGAGTCACTGCTTTTAATTGTATGGAATAAAGTATTGTCTAGCATCATATTTAATTTTCTATTCTTGGTTGTGAATCGTGTAGCTGATATAACGTGATCTAGTCTTTATCGTGAACTGTTTGAGTATCCAATCTTACGTCCGTCAACCACCGTGGAGGAGCATAGGCCGCTCACCAGCATTGTCCATCGAACTCTGACTCGAGCGTTCCTTTCCGGTTGCTATTTCTCCTTTTCATGTCTACTTCCAATCCCCAACGTAGTGTGTTCTTTGGTCTTCCTCTTCTCCGTTCCCCTTCAGGATCCCGAGTTAGGGCTTGCCTCTGGGTGCAGTTTGATGATTTCCTTAGTGTATGTACCACCCACCACCTCCAACCTCTCCCTTAATTTCCTCTTCATTTGGAAGTTGGTCTGTTCGCTTTGACAGTAGACTGTGGCTGATGGTATCCAGTCGATAGACATTGGGTATCTTGAGTAGACAATTGTTTATAGATACTTGTAATTCTAAGTTTCTGCTCCGTAAAGTGAAACTATTTTGACGTTCCCATTGAAGATTCTGACTTTGATATTGGTTGACGGTTGTTTTTTGAGTTCCATATGTTGTTCAACTATAGGAATGCTGCCCTTGCTTTGCCGATCCTTACCTTTATATCTCGATCGGATCCTCCTTGTTTATCGATGATGCTGCCTGGTTATGTACGTGAAAGTTTCCACCTCTCCCAGAGTTTCTTCATCAAGTGTGATTGGGTTGGTGTTCTCCGTGTTGTGTTTGAGGATCTTGCTTTGTTATTTATGTATATCGAGGCCTATTGATGCAGAGGCTGTTGCTACACTAGTTGTCTTCATCTGCATTTATTCGTGTATATGGGATAGAAGGTTCAGGTCATCTGTGAAGTCCGAATCATCTAGTTGCATGCAAGCTGTCCATTGAAGTCTGTGCTTCCCCTCAAATACGGAAGTCTTCATAATCCATTTAACCACCAGAAGAAAGGGAAAGGGTGAGAGTGAGCTGTTTTGTTTGACCCCGGTCCTTACTTGAAATGCATCTGTCAAGTATCCTCTATACATGATTTTGCAATGTAGTCCGTCGTATGAATTCCGTTTGATGTCGATCTTCTCAGGTACACCGTAGTGTTAAAGAAGGTTGAGTATCCAACCGAGCGGTATTATAAACTCGGTCAACCAGTCTCATTACCTTATTAACGTATGATCGCTGTATACCGTAGGGAGAGAATATTTAAAACCATTAGTTACGTTAAAAAGTCTACTCATTTCTGTAAATAGTTCACTTATCTTAACATAATGTAAAATTCCTGCATATCATCACTCTTGCACCTATCTTATTATACACTAATAACTGTTTGCTTTTGCTTTTTGTTTAGCACCTCGTGCATGATGGAGATGCAAATACCAGCACTATAAGTGATTGGAAATCTTCAACAGCCTATAATATCCGACAGTTTCTGCGTCGTCTTTTCAGTACAGCCCTATTGGGACCCGAATGTGCTATTGTAGCCCTTGTAAGTGACTGCTTTCACTTCGGAAACACTTTCTACATAGTAAACGTACATTCATTCTTGCATGAAGATTTCGGCTCTCATCAGACCTAATATTTCGGATGGTATCGAAGTCCCATAGATCGATTTTTCGATCTCAAATCTTTCACTGGGTTTTAGATAGGATCAGTACCAACTTACAGAAGTTAACTTTTTAGTACTTTATTCGTAGTTGAATACCCACTCGTCGTTCGTTTGCCTATATATAAATGATTAGTTTTCTGTACAGTTTTTCTCACTTTTTATAATGTACTGAAAGTTCCAGTAAACTCAAAATAATTTCAAAAGTCTATCCAAGTGTGACATCATATTTGAGTTAGGAGCATTTACTACCTATCGTTTCTTAAGTACTAATTACTTCAGACTCAAGCACTTGATGAAAGTATGTTGAATAGTAAGTTTGAATTGTTACTATAAGTAAAGTGTGTAATTACAAATTCATTGCTTTCGTCTAGTTTTATTATAGTATGATCCGGAATTTCATAAATTAGTACCTAGTTTCTTCACTAAGATCTTGAGTATTTCTGGTTTTTTATGAAGGTTGACATTATGATCGTTATCTTTTTCACTTCATTTGCTTCAGATGTAAGGCACCGGTCATTAACAACTATCCAGGTAAAAATGGGATTAGGGTTCTTACTTGGCTCCAAGATATAACATTCTTTTTATTTCTTTTAATTGTTTTTGGTTCAAGTTTCTTTATGTATTCATAAACATGCACTCTGTTCTAGAATATTTTGTCGCAAATCGTTCATTGTCTTTTAGTTTATACTTTTGGAATGATTTACCGAATTTCATCAGTTCATTTATTTCTATCATTTACACCATGACTGTTTGGATAGTTAAAATATAACAATTGACATTATTTAAATTTGAGAATTAAAAACTTAATTAAAAACTGTTATAACCCTTTTTACTTTTTGTTTAATTAGATATTTCTTGAACGGCTAATACTTGGAGCCGAAGTGGCTATGACATCATGGACATGGCGTCGTCAACTTTTAGCTTGTGTTCTTCTTGCTAGCAAAGTTTTAGATGATCAGGCTGTTTGGAATATTGATTATTGCCAAATTCTCAGGGATATTCATGTTGAGGATTTGTAAGTTCAGTAATAAGGAAGGTGATCATATTAAATTAATAGTTCTAAATCCCACTGTTCTTGAAAAAATGCCCTATGAATTTCGACTATCTCCTAAAATCCCACAGTTTTGAAATTTTAAAATCTTTCCTTTCAGTATCAAATGTGTTATAATTTTTGTCAAGGATTTTATTAATATTCCAAATTCCTCTATAACGAACCTTTACTTGTCATCGTCGTCTTTGTCTATATATGCCTTCGTGTTAAATTATATTTATGTGACAGTATATTAGCTTTAGCCAGAATTAATTATTACGTTTAAGGTAACTTACCGAATACAGATTTATGTTCACAGCATTGATTCACACTATATAAGTATCATTACCAAGGTTTGACTTGATAATTTCGAATAAATTGAGCATTGAGTGGATTGTTATAAATAAACTAATATATTTGTAATATCCCAATGAGTAGAAAATCTAATTTTTCTACTCATTGGGATATTACAAGCGCTTCAACCACTAAGTGACCACTCAGTCTCTCCTAATAGTCATAACATTATAATTGTTTAGCATTAAGACTAAAAACTGAATATGTAGATACACCTCAGAATAAAAAAAAACATGTTTTTGGAATACAGATTCTCACATATTCTCTTAGTGTAGTTAGATCTGGATGTACCAAACTCATCATGCTAATCTGGTCTATTTTTATTCATTTCCCTTCTTTGTCTATTTTCGTTTATTCCAGTCAGGATTAAAAAGTCATCTTCAATGGCAAAGCAGATTTTTTGTTTGAAAGTCTATTGCCTTATACATCACTGTATGAAAACATATATGTTCATGTAAACATCGCAGCAAATAATATTTTCAGTGCATTAGTATGATAAGAGATTGAAGAAAATCCTTAGGAAGCCCTTAATATATATTTCAAGCTAGTTGTTATTTGTCAGCAAGAGGTGTTGGGATACTAGAAAGGACTGATACTTTGAACACTACATCTTGCAGTATTTCTTGAAGAGGCGTTGTAATTAAACATTCAACCACTAGATAACAACATTTAATCCTTGGGATGTCGAGCCACTTAAAATAGTGGTTATATGGTAACGGTATTTATATAATCTTATCAACACAGACTAGACAAATATGGAATTGACTACTTATCAACAACCAATTGGTTTAAATATTTCAACCCTAAAGGAAGTCAATCACAACCTGAGTAGCTCAGAGGCAACGCATGTTAATAACAACATGATATTTTATCAAATTTCATTAAACCTTTCCATTTTTTTCCATTGTATATATTACTTGACGTTTATATATACACCAAATAGAACCTAAAGAGTAGTACATGGCCGTAAAATTTGAGGGTGGGTTTCACAGACACTGATGCGGATGAGATGTTGATACTAAGACAATCCCTTAACTGACACATTCATATCCGAGCACAAAAAATGTGAAAACCTGTCTTTTCTGGAGAGCTTATACTGTCTCGAAAGATGCTGAACATTGTTACAAAATTATTCTACACCAAGTGAACTATAAGGACTAAAAAATATGATTTAATAAACACGTATATTCTTAAGAATAAACTATTCAGAGTCCTATGAGGTCACTTTTTCTGAAGGTCGTAGTTTTCATTACTTTAAATGTCCGAGATTGTATATTTTTATTTACTGATTTCGAAACTTCATGCGACTAAAATCATTTCATTTAAATATTTAAAAATAGGAATGCTTTGGAGCGACATACATTAAGACTGTTACAGTTTAATATCAATGTACCATTTGGAGTATATGCCAGATATTATTTCGACTTGTTAACCGTTGGGGAGAGTGCTGGAGTCGCAAATCAAGCTGTTAAACGCAAACGCTTAACTCCTGAAAGAGCACGCAACTTCCGGATTTTACCTACTAATTTGGAAATATGTACATCGGACAAAACATTATTAAATAGAGGATTTCTTTTTGACTTACCCTCTTTCACAAAATCAGAAGTATTGTGCAATGAAAAAGAAAGAAAAGAGCATATTATTCAGAAATCAACGGAAGTTAAGTGTTACAAAGACGGTAATCATCAGAAAAAGTTCATTAAAACTCCTTTTTTAAGTCGAAATCAGGCAACTAACCATCAAATTAACTTGTCTAACCCAAAGTTTGATCTTATGCCTGATCATGTAACAGTTTCTGTTGATATGAATTATCAGTCTTCCAATAATGTAATTTCCGATGAATCGTTGGTCCCAATCCACCTGGATGAAGAAACTGATTTTGTAAATTCTACTCCCCCGACTTTTCCAAAATTAAAAGATTTTACTTATCAGTCGAAACAGTCAAAGACAAAGTACTCCTTCAAAAATCAAGAGCCTTCTAACCAATTTCATCCCTTATTATCATCATTGAATTATCAAAAAGAGACAGTTCCTTGCACGAAGTTTTTTATCAACTCCTCCTGTAAGCCTATCCAAACGTCAGCTTGTGTTCGGAATTTTAATCCACCGTGTTCCTTAAATGAAGCACCAGGTGTAGATCCCAATAACGTAACTGATTCTCGTATGAGAACAGAGTTTATACGATCTCTTATGGGTGGTGATGTAGCTTATTCCTTATTACGTGATTCTGGATTATACTGATTAGCTAAGGTTTAATATATTTGCTTTTAATATTATTTGTGCTATTGTTATTAACGCTTATAGTGAAGAACTTTCTATTAAAAATCTGGTTATTTTGTATTTGTGTGCATTTATTTATTTTCCTTTATCACTAAAACTATTCCGATTTTTAATCAGTTTTATTTTAATTTTTTACTATTTTCTTAACATGCTAATATTGATATTTTCATTCTTCCCATGTGGATGTTAAACTTTTAAAGTCTCTTAATCAAATTCTCCATATATATATATATATATATATATATATATATATATATATATATATAGTCATTCTAGTCCTTTCTGTATATTCAACATTCTGCAATATTCAAATACAACGATTGTGTTTCCATTACGATTATTAGCAATAGTATTAGTTACAGCAATTCTATAACTCCTCTATAAATTTGTATTTTTTTATGTTTCATTTTGTGAGTTTTTCGTACGCTTATATATCCATGCTTTCTTTATTAAGAACTCCGTATGGTTAGTATTTTAGATTTCCCTCATTCGTTTGCTACATATTTACACATGTATAATCGTTGTATTTTCCTCAGATAAGTATGCTTTTTTGTATTTATCATTTGACAGATATATGAATAAATATAGTTCATTATAGGTATCATATTTATACTGGAAATGATTACTAATGTACATTTTTTTGATTAAATAAAAATTTAACATGCGTATGATTTTTAGCTATCAACAAGGGTTTTTATGAGCATTACTACTTGGATTATATCTACCAACTGCATCACTCTTTAGTAGTCACTGATGTTTGCACGTATCTCTCATTATTGAGTAAAGTTAATACCAGAAGCACTGGATTTTCCGACACCATATGTCTGATGTCCGTTAGTTAACCGAAGCAAGATTTTAACATACAACGGTGCACTTTGCATTACCTTACAGCTGTGAGATATTGTCTGGAAATTCACGATACTGCTCAATACATTGGTAGTCGAGAGACGTTCAGAGACCTCTTGGTTGTTAGTGTAGGGCGGTAGTCATTTTCTGTTCTAGACGTTAGGTGACATGACTGGAAGTCTACCAGGGTTTCGTTACCTATTTATCCGCCTATAAGCCTTTAACCTAGTCTAATTCTCGGTTCTCGCTACCATTCGTCCTTCAAACCTGTACTCGATATATTTGGGTTTCGATAAACCCTTATCTGCTCTTATTATCTTTCACTGTCTCAATCCCTATAAAGGTACTATTACCAGACCTGTTTTTTGAGTCTCCACAAGCCAACAACTTATTCTGTAGGGGATAATCCATTGTCTGGACAGAATTGAAATTTCAAATCCTATATTAAGACAAAGCGAGTAGCGTATCCAGCAAGAGCTTCATCAGACCTCATTGTAATGCAAACAGTTATTTTTATCCATAAATGAAGAAATTATTCATGGTTTATGAGTTAGTGATAATGTATATTTATGATCTTTCATTGTTTCCAGTTCCTGGCATATTTACAGATGCGTTCTGTGTAGGTCTTGGAACTTACATTACGTATTACATATTCGATACCATTACTTACTTTATTTGGGATCACGGTGTAGCTTCGTATTAGACAGTCATATATTTATTCCAGTTTTGTTGTGAATAATGGTGGAAAAATTTATTAGTTTCCATGGTCCTTAACAAGCAATATTTTTTGTTCCCGTTATGCTATATGTGAAATTACATATATATATATATATATATATATATATATATATATATATATATATATATCCAAAATCATCTAAGCACTCTTCAAAACAAACGATCACAATGAATGTTATTCAGTGACTGACTGGGAGAAATGAACGAGAATGGTGACATTTGCAAATCTATGTGCATTCAACAAACTGGTTATAGGCGACGCAATATTTCCACGCAAATGCATACACAAAGTTACATGGATCTCAATGTATCACACCACGGAGAACCAGATAGATCATATTTGCATCAGTAATAAATTTAGAAGGACAATAGAAGATGTGAGACTCAGGAGAGGAGCTGACTGTTATATCCCGTGGAGATTTATGAATGTTAACTTTGGGAACTATTTATGAACTAGTGTGATATGTATATTTCCTATTGTGTAATTGCTATGTAACTAAACTATTCATATTCGTGTCCCTCTTATTATAAGTTTTATTTTGACCCATAAGTTATTATTATACGATTTACCATTCTTGAGTTATCCCCAGTCTATTGGTTACTGTTCCCTATATTCACAGCCACATATGGCCAAATCTTGTACGAATGTTATTTTCCATTTTATGGTGACCAGTTTGTTTGGCATATAAACCCAGTATGTTTGAGAATAATGATTCATATTGCAGAGACTATTATTGATTTTCTGGGCTAGGCAGAAAGCAGGACTGATAAGTACTCAAGACTGCTCATACGGATATTGTGTATCATTGGATCCGATCGGTAATTCACTCATCTGTGATTGACGGCAAACGTCACCTCATAAATTAAACACGGCATGTACATACATTCTCACACAATATAACACTGACATAGCTTCCGATCACCACCTAGTTGTGGCCAAGATGAAACTGGTGCTAAAGGAACACTGGAGAAACAGCATTTAGAAGGCTCAATACAGCTTTCTACATTTTGACAAACTCAATGAATTCAATATAACTCTGAACAACAGATTCCAAGCCTTACGAAAACCACTCGAAGAAGAGGAAACTACCATGGAGAACGATTGGAAAGGTATCAAAAAAGTAATGATTTCAGTGTATCAGCAGGTTCTGGGCTGAAAGAAACATCAACATGAGGAATAGATATCAAGCCTTATGAGGAGCGCCTCCAATCACTTAAGCTTTACCCACTAGAGTACAGGCGTCTTAGATGTGACCTTATGACCTACAGTATCCTAAACACTTCTGTTCATCCACTTAAACATTTAATTAAGCTTCGTCACAATAATTAACTAAATGGTAACACCCAGAAACTGGAGACCCAACATAGCAGAACGGAATTTAGACACAACCTCTACTCCTTAAGAATTGTTAAATGCTGGAATACGCAGCCAACTGAGCTAGTCCAAGCGATTTTCCTTGAGTCCTTTAAGAGGAAACTTGACCTATTCTTAAGGACTAAGAATAACATTATTATGATTTACTAATTTCTTTTTTCCTGTTATCGTTATTATTACATAAGTTCCTGCCTAGAGGTATTGGTGATCCACTGCTACTAGACACGGAAGCTTGTTTGGCGAAATCTTTTATTCCGTCCACAGCCATTTGAACAAGAGCAGAGAATGTTCAGGCACAATCTGAATACAAAGGAGCAAATGAAGAAGAGCATTAGAGTTGACAAGTAGAAATATGTGGAAGATCTAGTAGCGACAGCGGAAAAGGATGTAAGAGAAGAAACTAGTAACAACTACATGACACAACAAAGAAACTGACAGTAAAATGTAGAAAATCGGAGAGACCGTTCAAAGACAAAGAAGGCCAGTCAATCACTGAGATCCAAGAACAGACGAACAGACAGGTAGACCATCTCGAGGATCTCTTGAATCGGCCAGCTCCACTGAACCCACCGAACATCGAAGGAGTATACACAAACCTCCCAACGGATGTCACTCTGCCAACGATCGAAGAAATCAGGATGGTCGGTTATCAGACAAATGAAGCAGCAGGATCTGACAATATACCAGCTGAAGCACTGAAGTCAGACATAGAGATAACTGCAAACATGCTCCATGTTGTAATTGAGAAGAAGAACATGTACCGACAGACTGGAAAGAAGAATACCTTGTGGCTGTAAATAATTCCCCAAAATCAATAGCTCATTAAGTGTTCGACATCGGATGCTGACCACGTTGTTAAGGTGGACTTATTTAACTGAAGGCTTTCGGTCATGCATCTGTACCAGATCACGTTTCGATCCAGCGTCGGACACAGCTCCTACATTCACTAGCCAGCTTAGAGTAAACGCTTCGCGATATATTGATAACGGATCATATATATCTTTCCTACCTCTTCACATCTGACTTCGATTAGTTTGGGAACGCGTCGTACATAAAAGCTGTTACTGGTAGGTAGTTGTAAAATTAGAATACTAGTCGTATCTTCAAGGTATCAAAGAAAGGAGATACGAGAAGATGTTAGAACTTTATTGGAAAAATACTACCATCGGTACCAGAAAAGGTTTTCAACAGAGTGTTGCTGAACCAGATGGAAAATTCAGCAGACTTTCAGGTTCGAGATAAATGTGCTGGATTTCGTAAGGATCGGTCGTGCACAGCCCCACTGAAGACACTACGGAACATCGTTGAAAAAACAATCGAATAAGACTCGTTCGTATACATCAACTTCATTGACTATGAGGCGTTCGACAAGAGAAATAGGAGAACATTATGAAAACCTATTCGATAGCTGAAAAAATCGTAAATACTTTCAAAAATTCATACGACGGACTACATTGCAAAATCATGTATAGAGGATACTTGACAGATGCATTTCAAGTAAGGACCGGGGTCAAACAAAACAGCTCACTCTCACCCTTTCCCTTTCTTCTGGTGGTTAAATGGATTATGAAGACTTCCGTATTTGAGGGGAAGCACAGACTTCAATGGACAGCTTGCATGCAACTAGATGATTCGGACTTCACAGATGACCTGAACCTTCTATCCCATATACACGAATAAATGCAGATGAAGACAACTGGTGTAGCAACAGCCTCTGCATCAATAGGCCTCGATATACTATGATAATTAGAAGTATTTGAATTGTAGTATGAACTAGTAATCCCAGGAATAACGCAATTTAATCAAGAAGTATCAGATGAACTCGAACGAATGTATTGTATTTGGAATTCAAAATTACAACAGTCATCAATACTAAGAAGTCATTGATTTATTTAAACATCACATCCGCCACAGCTCGAATTGAAGTGTAAGTGTCTGTAATCGATTGTTTGTCTTCTTCTTAAGTTCATCCTACATCTGTCCGGTGGTGTATTGAATGTACACTCTGTATTATCTAGAATGCACTCATTAGTATTAGAATTAACAACGGAAATTGGAACAGACTCACCTGGGTTCTAGAATTGTATACAATCAGCATGTCGGTTGTGTAGTGAAACCATTGATATTTAGAATTTGCATCATGGACTTTCCAACAATATCCTCCCCCACGAAATAATGTTGGGTCCTTACTTCGCAATGTTTTAGCCAATATGACGTTCCCAATTTGCATTATCTCAAATCTTACGCACCGACTACTGTATGTGAGTATTTGGGAATAAACACTGATATATAATTAGAGGTATTCCATCATGTGACTTTGACTTGAATAAAAATCATGATACATATTCTTTTTGTTATTCATATTAGAATACACAGATGGATATACATTGATATATGTAATTAACACACGTGATTCAATTAGGCTTGATTTACCTGCGAAACAATCGGATAGAAAACATTCATCTGCCTCATATTCATTAGGATAATCTTGGACTTGATTTGGATTCTCTGTCTGTGCAAACTTCACTTCTGGGCAAACTGGTTCTCTGGTTGCTTCGGAAAATTTTGCTATCCCCTCTGTATCATTATACCCCTGACTAGGGATTCTATTCAACATGCATTGTTCGTGAGAGTATCCAACATATGACACAATAACATCAGAAATATGACTAGAATTCAACTCATAAGAAACATATTTTTCACATTCATGAGGAATATCATTAGAGATAAATTCATTATGAGGACCACTGACACTTGATATGATATCAGAATTCGATTCTTCTGAAATATTTTCCTCAAATTGATTAAGAGTTTCATTAGGTAATGGATCATCAGGGAATTCAACATCTACCATGACTGAATTTGGTTTTTGATCATGATTTGACTCATTTAACATTCTATTCTCAGAGTTGTAAGAAATTACATCAGAAGTATGTGAATTATTACGACAAACCATATCTGGCACAATAACATGAGAAATCTGATAAGTTGTTTGGTTGAGAATTTTCGCTTCCCAATGACTCTGGGTTTCATTCAACTCTGGACTGTTATATGACGTTATACCTCTGCTAGATAAAGATAACTGATCATTAGAAGCATCCATCTTAGCATTACTTTCAGCGAAATGAACCATGGTATTACAAACTGACTGAATATGTCCAGTTATACCACATTTAAAGCATTTAGAATTACGAAATATACATGAATTACATGGGTGAAACTTGCCGCAGAACATGCATTTACTAAACTTGTGCTCATCATCATGGACTGTTTCACAACTCAATGAAGTATTATCTGAATAAATTTGATTACGCATCGAACTACGACGACTGTTTGAATAAGTGGAATTCCTGATGTTCTGACGAGTCATTTTATCGGATTTTCCTTTCTTACCGCATTCGGAATTTGTATACTTTACATGATCCAACAGAAGTTGCTTGTGAGTTGCATAGGGGAGTGAAATCGGTTTGTCTGGAAATGCCAAAATCTTTATAAGGCTGTATGCTTCTTTCCCGATGAATGTGAGGAAATGGGCCACAATATTAAAATCCTCATCATCTTCCTTGGTCATAGCCCAGATTTCGAACCTTTCCATGTACTCCTCAAAAGCATTAAAATCTGAATTTATATTTAACCGTTCCATCACAGGCGCAGTCGCGACGCCAATATGATAATTATAAGTATTTGAATTGTAGTATGAACTAGTAATCCCAGGAATAACGCAATTTAATCAAGAAGTATCAGATGAACTCGAACGAATGTATTGTATTTGGAATTCAAAATTACAACAGTCATCAATACTAAGAAGTCATTGATTTATTTAAACATCACATATACATGAATAACAAAGCAAGATCCTCAAACACAACACGGAGAACACCAACCCAATCACACTTGATGAAGAAACTCTGGGAGAGGTGGAAACTTTCACGTACATAACCAGGCAGCATCATCGATAAACAAGGAGGATCCGATCGAGATATAAAGGTAAGGATCGGCAAAGCAAGGGCAGCATTCCTATAGTTGAACAACATATGGAACTCAAAAAACAACCGTCAACCAATATCAAAGTCAGAATCTTCAATGGGAACGTCAAAATAGTTTCACTTTACGGAGCAGAAACTTAGAATTACAAGTATCTATAAACAATTGTCTACTCAAGATACCCAATGTCTATCGACTGGATACCATCAGCCACAGTCTACTGTAGGGAGTAGTTTAACGTCGTGTACTATATTACACCTACATAGCTTGTTCTAGTTTCTGGATAAGCCAATTCACCTGTAACGTTATGAGTCATATTTTGATCGTGTTATTTATTCTCTTATTGACTATTTTTTTATATGAGCGTATTTGTATGCACACTTCTTATCTGTCATTCATTTTAGTCTGACTATAAATGTTGATTAATGCTAGCTTATAACGAGTTGGCTTACCAACCATCTCCCGTGTATGTTACTTTTTCTTCGCTCGCTAACATTTGCTCATGTGCTCACTGCTATCTAGCCTGTTATTTGTCAATAAAAATGTAGTTGCCACTTCCCTTTGTCTCCTGATATTATACACCGTTCAGATTGATATAGTAACGATCGATAGAGACGATCGATTAACGAAGCACCACACTACATATTGGCTAGCCCAACATGCGAACACGTAACAAAATTGGATGCCTCGCCGAACGAACACTCATTACTACTGTCAAAGCGAACAGATCAACTTCCAAATGAAGAGGAAATTAAGGGAGAGGTTGGAGGTGGTGGGTGGTACATACACTAAGGAAATCATCAAACTGCACCCAGAGGCAAGCCCTAACTCGGGATCCTGAAGGGGAACGGAGAAGAGGAAGACCAAAGAACACACTACGTTGGGGATTGGAAGTAGACATGAAAAGGAGAAATAGCAACCGGAAAGGAACGCTCGAGTCAGAGTTCGATGGACAATGCTGGTGAGCGGCCTATGCTCCTCCACGAGGGTTAGGAGGCATAAGTGAGCATGTTAGTGTCGAAACGTGTCTTCAAATATGACAATCTCGAGTACTAAAAGTATTTCACATCTGGTCTTCATACGATCTGTTGATGAAACGTGACTTTGAGTCTTCGGATAAAAGAGTCAAATGTAACTGAAATGGTGTGAATCTGTGTCGAATTGTTATGAAACGACTTTCATTCCATTGCAAAAGAGTATGAATTTCAAGATGGTAGAATTTCACTCAGTGCCATAGAACAAAGTAAGACGCGTGAAGACTGCTTGGACGAATATTTTGGCTGATGAACAAAACACGAATAAAAGTTTTATGTTTGTTGTAATGTATCGATAAGACCTAACCTAATATGTCAGTTAAGGCGCTTAGTTTGTGAGTTGCGTTGGTTGTCCCCGCGATTACCAGTGAGTTTTCAAGGAATCGTTCTCTTTGTGTTTCGTATGCGTTATCCTGACATTTTGCATTATATGTAGTATTAACAAGCACGTTGACTGTTTTTTCATAAACTCAAATGACAAACACCTGTGCGATCTCGATGGCACTAGTTCTTATTCGGACTTACATTTTCATAATAAATATCAGTAGGTTCGTTTAAGGTTCTGCAATACTAATTTTCATAGTACATAGTACATCACAACAGTTACACTCGCACCTTTTCTCCCGTTAAAACTTATGTTTGCGTACTTACTCTCCACATATTACTGCCATATAACAAACTTACAAATATTAAAGGAGAAATGTGGTTCAAATATCATAAATTACACATTACCTTCCATCTCTCACTGAAAATTACTGTAGTATTTTTCTGAATAGTCTGTATCAAGTAATTCTCGAAAAAATGTATTTCCTAAGCCATTTTTCTGTGACAAGTTTTATCAACCCTTATAGACAAATGATCCACTTATATGAAGTATGCACATGTTCATCAAATGATTACAATAGAAATGTTCTGTAGTGTTGAGACGCTGTACCAGTTGGGTGAACATGTATGATTGAAAATTAATGCATGAAAAGGACTGGACAAACGTCAAGTAAAAGTTCCGTACCGGGTAACATAAGTTGTAGAAGGATGAAATTTGACTGTTTGTTTCCATATATGACGCTACTGAGTTGCACTTGTAAGGGGTATAGATTCACCGCGAATATATATATATATATATACGCTTAACTTTAACTACTGATTCTAATCCCACAAGCTTCTAGTCTGAGCCATGTTGATAGATGCAGACTACTTGGTTGGGGTTCGCGTGACTATCGTAACCAATGGTTGGAGACTGTATGACATGGCTCAGAATCGATCACAATGACGCAAGTGTATACACTTTTTATCTTCCCTTAAACCTTGAGATTAAAATCGTTTCATATCTGTCTTTCTTCCTGTGTTTGACGAAATCTTAGCACGGGTACAGAAGACTCGTCTAGCTTTCGCCAACTTGCGTAGTTTATGGCGTGGGCGAGATATCCGTCTAGCAATCAAAGGACGGGTTTACTGCGCAGCATTTTGTTCCGTCCTACCTTATGACAGTGAAACATGGCCGATAAGAGTAGAGGATATTCGTAGGCTGCTAATGTTCGATCATAGGTGTCTTCGAAGCATTGCTGGTATATCGTGGGACCACTGGCTAAGTAATGCAGTTGTTAGGGAACGGGTACTAGGTAAGGATGGCAAATCGATTGATGAAGTAGTGGAACTTCATCAGTTGAGATGGCTGGGATACGTGTTACGTATCTCCAACCACCGACTGCATCGACATGCAATGTTTTATGGTGTAGGAGTAGGTTGGAAGAAAGCTAGGGGTGGCCAGACGAAAACGTGGCACAAATCCGTGAAGTCAGTGACTAGTGGACTGAGCCATATTGATAGGTGTAGACTACCCGGTTGGGATCCGCGAGATGATAACAATCGATAGTTGGAGATCCTGAATGACATGGCTCAAAATCGTTTGCAATGGCGATGGTGCATCCACTGTTTGTGTTTTGCCAAATTCTAACCTTCTGAATTCTTCACGTCTCTATCTTTTATCTCTCTCCAAATTTATTTCCCTGGATTATACTCTTTGAATAACATCTTCAAACCCTAATCTTTCCGATTACTGCTTATACTTTTACTACTTCTACCACTATGGGATTGGAATCGACAACTGTATCTCTGTGTTAATGTGGTATGGCGATTTCGAACTGATGTACGTACGTACGTACGAAGTTCTACGTTGTGAATGACGTGTACTATATCCTTATATAAATCTTTCTTTTATATATTACCACCACTAAATTAACTACTTCTATGAATTCGGTGTTCATCGTGTTGTGCTAGTGAAGTATGGCAACTTGGATCAGTGCATAGATGTGCCTGGTCCTACATTGTAGCTGACTGACTGAATTCCACAAGCGGGTGGTTAAAGTTCCTTAATTCCATCCCATTGTCACCCAAAGTTTGTCTATAAATCATAGTCTCTGTGAGAAACAATTCAATCGATGTTAAAATATACTTTTAAAAACCTTTGTAAAGCTAGGTCGAAATATGAAACACGATTTTGCTGCCTTAACGTTTGAAAGGGAAATATTCTTTTTGTTACCTTTGAAAGTCCACGCATAAGAGCTTTTTACTATGGCTTACTAAACTTCGTAAAACGTAATTAAAAGCGATTATGTTTGGTGGATGAATGACTCGTAATTTTGATAAGGTTGTGAATAAAAAGGTCAAGTTGTCATCCCACAAATTTTTTGGCTTTGCGTGAACTACCTTTACCTGACGTAGTTGTTCTGAAGTCGCCTATCGCGGGTATACCTACGAAGTTTGTACCGAAACTTCAACAGGCACGCTACATATTTGCCTAATGATTATCCTTATAGGACAACTGAATACTTCGTTCTTCAAAATTTATCCAAATAAGATCTTTCAACAGTTGTTTAGTTATCAACCAAGGGTCACATACGAATACATGTCTGCCAAAGTTACTGCATGATATTCGGGATTATTATACAAAATCCCAACCTATTTTCCTGACGTTTAAAATAAAATGTGTGCCTTATTTTTGGTAGAATCTTGATATTATGCATAAATAGATACCAGGCCTTTAGTTGTATTCTGTGTAATGATTTTATTCTTCACAACTGTGAAATTCATTTAACAGAATACTCTTCACAACAAGTTTCTGGGAGACGTAACGTAAAAGCAAGCAGAAAACACGTGTATTAAGTTGCGTCTAACATAAATCTGTCAATCCAGGGGCCACTTTTTACGTCACCACATTCAAAGGAAGTAACACTAATGATATCAAGAGGACTGAAAAGCTGGAAATGCAAGGAAAAAGTAAAGATATAAAATCAGGGTATTGGTAGTATGAAAATACGTTATTTTCAAGATTTATAGTAATAAAGTGTTCTCTGCATTATTCCAACTAAGTTTTAGATATATCACTTGGAGTGCAAAAGGTTTCCAAGCTGTAGAGGTACTAGGGGAACGTAAGTAGCCTTTGTTAGAGTTTCTAACTTTATTAGATAAGCGCATCCATACTTTGCTGTAAGTCCTCTGTTAAGAAGAATTTAAAGTGTACTATCCTAACGAGGTCCTGCCTTCTGCGTAATGCTTGTGGTCTCGAATATGTAGGGTTACTTGGTAGCCGTATAAAGTTTATTTGCTATATAGAGTGATAAGTCCCTATTGATATTTTATGTTCTTTATCAAATTGCAAACTAGTTTAACAAGATGTAATGGCTTTTTTATAATCAGTGACATCAAAGTTGTCAATATTTTCCTACTCTTACCTAACTCCACTTTTACAATGAATCGCTGGATGACTTAGGGTAACATAATAATTGACTTTCCACGTAAGGCACATTTGGTACTAACATGACTAGCAATCTTGTTCTGTGTCTGTAGGAGCATCATTCAAGTAATGAACTCGCATATGGTTGCTGTATGTGCATCTTCTGATGCTTAGTAGTTAAATCAACCTCTTTTCTGGAAGTGGCGTCATTTTACTTTTTATCAGCTCTACTTAGTCACGAAACAATTCATAGTATCCGGCTGAAGGAGCTTTATTTCATATAGAGAATCTAAGAAGTTTGTTTGAAGTCATGGAATTATGAATAGCTCCTCCTTGTGCATATTTGTAAGTATATGTAGTGTTTTGAGTTTTGTATAACGAATCTCTAGCATATTCGTAATTCAATATACGGAGGCTAACATATTTTTAGAAAAACATCTTGTAGTTTTTCTAAACTTTATTAAAATAGAAATCACTAGTCTCATACAGTTTCATTTACTAGATCGTGAGCTAAGTCTTTTTCTTGCGACAATGTTATCCGGTTCCCTAAAACCTTGACAAAGTGAATCTGCATCCGAACCGTAACGCCATGATTGAAGTTTGAATTCCGTAGTCTTATGTCGATTAGGTACTGTACACCGTATATCATTATAATGACCATGAGCCTCTCTGTTCTTGGGTCGTCTTGAGATCAATGAGATAAAAAGGTGAAGCTACGTTAATGTGGGGATTCATTTGCTATGATTTTATCATATCCACAGGTGTACAGTAATTTAGATTTCGAGTTTGTTTTATTGCATTGTCGACATTTGTGTGTTTATTGATTTATTTCTAATCAAACCTTCTTTTCCGCTCAGTTTTTCGTCCAAAATGAGTGAACTGGATCAGCTACGGCAAGAAAGTGAACAACTCAAAAATATGATCAGGGTAAGTCTAAGAGTAAAAAATATCTGAAGTCTGTGATTTCCTTATATCACTTTTAGCCAGATAGTTAATGTCATGGTATTCTATAGTCGCATTTAAAAAAAATTAAACTCTTGAGAATATATAAGTACCTCAATGTAGTTGTTTTTCGATTCAAATTCTGAGTGTTTAATCTTCCTTATCACTATTGCTACCATATTATTTCAATCTCTTCTGAAATCTGTATTATTTTCATTTCCTCGTGCTAATGTGATTTGAGAACTTAAGCCAACCCAAATCTGTGTCATGCTCTATATTAATGTTTGTCTGTCTGTTAGTGTGATTTTTACGGAGAGCCGAAGATCGGCTTCAAGCCGTATTACTCATGATTGTTTGTTTTCATCTAGATATAAAACGACTGTTGTCCTTTTCTATGTTAAAACAGTTTAAAAACTAGGAATCTATAAAAATATTATAGGTGCTTTCTGGACTAAAATAATTATGATGAGTACCAAAACGTTACTTTTAACGAAATCGATCCCATCTACGTTGCCAGGATTTATTGTGTAATATCTTTTACGCTAACATATTTTTTAGGTTTCACAACACTTCGTTATGCAGCTGCAGGTTATATTCTTGTTAATCACTTTTGGATGATTCGGTCGCTCAAACTAGTTCAGTTATCTACAATCTTGTCACATCTTAATTTATTCGGATCTCCAGTCCCATCTCGTTTACTCTGTTAGATGTGTAATGAATGAACACTCAGGTGGGGACGACCGCATGTATGTTTGTATATTACGGAATATTTTGTCAAAGTATGAGAACCATGCATTGAATACTTCATTTGCAAAATTCCATCATTTGTTCTTCACATTCTGTATAATTCTCCAAAGTCACAAAATTTTTCTATTCCCGTTTCTGTTTTTTCTTCAACTTGATCTTCTTAACCATCTGTCGCCAGGTTTTCCACATCCAATTTGTGTTACATACTACTTATATCTATCGACATGAGTGTCATACACCCCAGATGTCCTTCATATTTGCCACGCTCGAAGTGATCATTTAATCTGATTTTTTTGCTGCACATTTCCATTCACAGTAGCTATTAATTTAAGTCTATCTTTCTTGGTTTCTTATAAGCCTTAACAAGACTTATCTTTTGTGTTAACTGGAGCTTAAAAGAAAATAAAAAGTGCTCACCGTCAAACGAATCAAGACTAGAAGTATTTCACCATACAGTGAAGGCAGACCAATCACTAAAGTGTTTTTCTTGAATGTGTAATGTTTCCATATTTCTTTCCTCAATTTTGATTTATTTCCTTGATTATTTCAAACATTGCTACTAGTTTCCCGTCAGCGTTGTTGACAAACATGACTAGTTGAATCGGTGCATCGCTGTTCGAAATGCCATATCACTGAATCAATGTCTCAGCCAACTTACCTTCATTTTATTTTGTAAATAATTTTAGTGACTAGTTCGAAATGTACAGTTGTAATTCTTCAGAAAATGTCACTTTAATAGAACACTTATTTATGTGGACCAATGTTTAGTATGTGAAGTTATTTGGTTATAGAAGGACACTACCATCATGCTAGCAATTGAGAAGCTACATTTTCTAACCAGAATTTGGCAGATTTGTTCCTTCGGTAATTATTTGTTTATGAAACTCACTTTACATACTTATCGACATGATAATTTGTGTAAAAATTGCGGTAGAAGTTCAGTTGTTCTTAACAGTTTAAAACTGTATCCACTTTTTGAGGCCATAAGGTCATATAAAATTAGTTAGTTCGAAATGTCACTAATGTCCATAGCTTATTTGTATTTTGAAATATTTTTCTAATTCAGTTTCTGGTCGGTGTGTAATTCACCGTGATCAAAACGTATAATTCGTAGTGAATATAACTCGATTTTTTAAGTTGTGGAAAATAACGATATGAATATCAGCTTTCATTGTTTATGCTTGTGTTTATCCCTAATATTCTGCCGTTTCTGTTCATTTTCTTCCAGTCCAATGTATTAATCATTTTTTCTATTCAATAAATATATTAGGTATTAAAGCTTTTCCTACTAATTGAAGGGCTTAAACCCTAATCCACATACTTAATCTTGAATGTTCATAGAATATCCTTATACTTCCATCAGTAGGTTTTGCTTATAGTCTTATAAATTAGACTCTTTGTGGCTGTTATGTTGCTATCGTGTACTATATTTTCAAGAGCAGACCTATTATATAGTCTGTACAACAGTGATGCAACAATTTAATCCTCGTTTTTCATCATATTACTTCCCCTCATTCCTTAAGCTAATATATAACTGAAAACGTTAATATGTTGTCTCTCTTCCTCAGTCACATGCCTCATTTTATTCCTTTATAATTGAACCTGTCGTTCATAAGATATAACAATAAACGCGAAATTTACTACGAAGGATTAAGTATTATTGATGTGTCGGTTTCAATTTTGATTTCTATGTTAACTTATTAAAATTTACTCCTTGACAAAAATAAGCTACTTTTATTCTTATAGATGTGTAATTCAAGCAGAAATTTCTCTAATCGTCCTGGAAACTTCAGATTTCCTCTTCTGTACATCCTGAACATCTGGAATCTCGTTAAGATTGTTTGTATGAACATTTTTAAACGATACTTCTTACTTGAAAAATTTGACGCGTACTAAATAACATTTACATGATTTTACACTCAGTCTTACTGAAACTGCTTTTCTGTACTAAGCTACTCACGGCCATGTCAAGTAAAAGACTACATAGTTTAGTTAATCGTGCGTAATTTAGGAAATAAAGTATGGTTTTGTAGTTCTTTGTATCAAGTACCGAAAATAACTCCAAATTCCCTCACCGAACTACAATGGATACAACGATCAACTTATTATGGTTTGTTGAAATCCTTGAGTTATGTATTCACTAGTATAGTTACATGAATGGGGAAATCATAAGTTTAAACACTTGGATAAACATAATTGATATTTTTCTGAACCCGTTGTTAAGGAAGCGAAACCTTCCTTATCTCCATTCAGTGCTATCTGATTTCCTGGCACTTTCAAGCTTATTTATTTATTTATTTAAACACATAAATATTGGCACAAGGTGGCAGTATATATATTTGCGCCACACAAATCTCATTTGATTTGTATTAGGGCTGTGATACTACTCAGGTGCCCAAACTGAAGCAGATGGTTTTTTAGGGGGCCACACCCGGAGCCTTCGACCTAAGGGTCTGATCCATTAGGCAGTGGAACTTCGTGAGGAGATTCAGTTCCATGGTAGCCGGTGACCAACGATTGATTCATACGCCATTTGTTCCCTCAGAATACTGGAGCCCATGTGCACTTTTGTCTTAACTTTGACAATTTAATATACCTATAGCTATAGTGATACTCACTGAAGCTGATATTTTGCGTCTAAAAGGGATATTATATTTGGTAGCTGGTCTATGTATGATCTGCTGGTTATTGATTTTAGACAGTGAAAACTCAAACTTGCTTAGATTTGTTGTTTACTCTTATAACTGTGATAAATTGTAAATTAACGTGACTCTTCTAAGTCAATGCTAATATTATCAGAATGGGGTTTGTGGAGACTGTAGTAATTTTAGTAGTTGTATTCATGAGCCGAAGCCGTGACCAGTAGAGTCTAGTCCGTATCGGGTAGGGACAAGTATCTACCTGAGACAATAGATGAATGATCGTGTAAGATCATAGATTGATTTAGTCCAGACTGTTATATCTTCTAGGTTGAACACTATAGTCAGATCCTAAGCTATTCTGATAACCCCAGGCTAGAACTACTCAGCGACTTGAACACCAGGGAGAAAACTCAAGTATGAGAGAAAACACTTTACTGCAAGGTTCCTTTATGTACAGAAAAACAGGGGTTTTATAGTAATTAAAAGACCTTGAGATTCCATAGTAGCAGTATGTTAAACAGCCAATCAGGACCTCGTTATTTTAGTAGCATAGCTTCTAACTAATCGCTGATTGGTTGGGCTCTTTATGAGCCTCTGGAGGCTCTGATAGAGTTTACTGTAAGCCGACTTAACACAGACATCAACACTGTTGGATGCCGGCTTAGTTATCTAAAGGTTAAGCGTTCCCGCGCGAGATCGAAGGTCCTGGATTCAAGTCCTGCATGTGGAACTGTGGGTGCACAATTCTGAGGAGTCCCGTACTGGAACGAAGCGGTCGTCCAGTGCTTCTAGGTTTTCAATGGTAGTCTAACCTAGATCGACTCATGAATTCAACTATTTAAATACTACTAATATTGCTATATTCACTGTCCACATTATTCTATGACTTAAATACTCTATCACTTTAACTTAAGTCACTTTTGCTGTTGCAGATTTTGTTTATATTCTTTTTCTGTTATGTTGTGAATAATGTTCATGTCGTTTCAGTCACTCAGGGGTAAAATGACACTGAAATTATCAACGAAATTTGGAATAGCGCTGTTAATTATGCAAGAATATATATGATGATCATGTCCTTTAAACTATAAAGAATTTCCAGCCACACCTATGGCTTAAAATATATGACTATGGTACAGTTTCAGTTATACCACTTGATTCTGTTCTGTGTAGTAATTCAGTCACTACTAATGTCCAAGAATACAATTACAAAGTATTGAAAATGGTACTCGAATACATCAATTGCTCATCGTTGGTTCACAACAAGACAGAGAATGGAGGTTGATTTTCATAGGAAGAAAAAAATCCTCACGTTATCATCGTACAAATAATTAGCAAGCGACTTTGATAAACAAGGTGTAGATCATAAATATTACTAGCGTGAATGTATGTCTTGGTATTTTTATTTCTTGTTCGACTAAACGGGAACTGAACATCCTTTATTTCAACCGCTCAAGTTTCATTTGTGAATACTTCTCTAATATTCTTATTATTCTTTTACCGTATACATAAGTTAGTTTACTGTAAATAAAGTTAGTCGAAAATCTTTTTGTGTAACCGATATTTTATAAGCCTCTTTGCTCTAATCTAATCTCTATTTGTTTTTTCTTACCAAGTAAAGGTTCATATAGTCGGCTTTGTGTTACACTATTATGGTAAAGGTACTGAAATTGAAGTAGGTAGTGCGTAGTCTAAACGTGCAACTGGTTTAAAGCCAAATCAATAAACTACCACTACTTAGTTTACGTATTGATTCTTTGGGTGAGGTGTAGAAATATTTACAGCTTTTTAAAGGAAATATTTAAGTTTTTTGAAACTGGTAGGGTTTAAAATGTTCAAACTTTTAAAAAGTATAAGCTGTATAATTTTTTTATGATGACTGAAAAATATATTTCACAATATTATATCTAAATATAGTAATTTATTGGCTTACAGTAAATAGAAGTCTTTACTTCTCTTTTGAATTATAGTCTACTAATCAGTTTATTTTTATTATTGTTATCGACTACTTTTTATTTATTTATTAGGAGGCCCGCAAAGCTGCAGCTGATGCTACGCTACTTCAAGCATCTAGTAACGTGGAGCCGGTAGGACGAATTCAGTTGCGTACTCGTCGTACTTTACGGGGTCATTTGGCTAAAATTTATGCTATGCATTGGAGCACTGATTCGCGCAATCTTGTATCTGCTTCACAAGATGGAAAACTTATAGTCTGGGATGGGTATACTACTAATAAGGCAAGAATAATTTTGTTTAGAAAATATAAATATGTTATACAAAATCGTGGATTATGTAAATATCTGTATCTAATTTTTTATACTTCATGTAATTCACTTTTTTCGTAGTTCCTTTCCACCGTATCCCTACTTAATTATGTTGAGGTTGACATTGGGAATCCAAAAAACTTTCTAACTGAATATATTTATTTTAATGTTTTTTGGATCCACGTTGTTTTCTGTGTGCTTGTGTTGACTACATTCGCTTTTTTTAAAATTATTTAATCAGGTCAACATCTCAGAAACTTGTAAGTCCATCAAGTAGATTGATAATGTAAGGAAGTAGTATTCATATCTAAATTTAGTTTTCATTTTACAATATTTAATTTTTAATTAGTTGTTTGTTATACATTCCAGTGTTCTATCGTGATCTGTGCGAATAACAACTTGTTTCGATTTCATGTCAAAATTCTGTTGTAGGTTCATGCCATTCCTCTAAGAAGTAGCTGGGTCATGACATGTGCCTATGCGCCTTCCGGTAATTATGTCGCATGCGGTGGTTTGGACAACATTTGTTCCATTTACAATCTTAAAACACGCGAAGGCAATGTGCGTGTTAGCCGTGAGCTTCCAGGACATACAGGATATCTGTCATGTTGTCGTTTTCTTGATGACAGTCAAATTGTAACAAGTTCTGGTGATGTGACTTGGTATGTGTCATGTGATTCACTCGATTTTTTTTTTCTGTTTTGTGCGAAGTTCGTTATATCGAACTCGGATTTATTTGCCATAATTTCAGTTTATAATTAGTTTACAAGGTGCATCACAATCTCTATTCATCAGGAATGACTACTAATTGCCAAGAGAACTTTAACAAGGGTCTCCTGACTTTTAAACCACACAGGTAACTATAAGATCCGTGGAATTACATTGATCTTCAAAAATGAATTATCACTCTTGTGTGACAGAATTCGGAAGAAAAAAACTATTTTAACAGTTGTTTGTCACATTAAGCCAATAGTAGAATATTAACAATGCTTAAATCTTTAGTCATTTTCTTCCAAACATGATTTGTATTAACCTGATAATACGTGTAGCTTAGTATAAGAAATTAGGCCTTCAGCTTTTAGTGAAAATTAGCATTCATTTCTAATTTTTGGTATGGAGTACAGCGAACAACATCATTTTCTATAAAATTATTCATTCTGTAGATGTTTTTGGAGCAATGAACTTTAAAGCATATTAGTTCCTTTTATAGAATCTAATGTACACCGACAGCTATCTATTATATTTCACTTTCAAGTATTACTGTTAACAACTTATAAATATATGCAAATCAAAATATTTTTTATTCGGAAGCTAATTTATGTAGCTGTAAAATATTTTACTCATCATGTTTTCTATGAAACAATCTATAAAGCATAGTCTCGTAAACATTTTAATCAATATTTATTTATTAAATTCTTGTTTTTTGTTAAAATAGTAAGGATATTTAATAAAAAAAGGTTTGGTTTACCGTACATTATTAATAACCCATAAAAAGCAAATATTTATAAAATAAAACGAACCTGATTTCGGTTCTCGCACGTGGAGTCATAGATGTGCACTGCTAAGGGGTCCCCTACTAGGAGGACAACGACCGTCCAGTGCTTACAGGTTTTCAATGGTGGTCTAACATTGATCGGTTCATGATCTCAATTAAAACTCAACAATCTCCACAAACCTATACTAATGATATCTTTCAATTAAGTAATTTGTTTAATGAGTCATGGATACTTTAAGGATATACAGGATATGAAAAAATCCATCATCAAATCTACAATAATTAAATTTATAACCGTATTATAGCATAAAGTACCGCTGCTAAATGGTTGACACATAAGTATAATCTACACTCCCTACATAGCATAGAAAGTCAGATAAAAGACTGTATCTTTCAGGTTTGTTCCAAATTACTAGTGAACTATATTTAAAATAGTTCGCATACTTTCAGCAGTTGATATGTTTCTCCGGATTACTTATGATATAATCTGAATCTTATACGTATATATTTATATGCTAATAGTGTTTAGTTGACTGAACAATTTATATTAACTTATCCGAAAATTTGTATAATCTAAATAAAACAGTTACATTCATAAAGAAAAATTAAACTCTCTCTACTGTCAATTATATCAGGATATTTTAATGAACTCTTATCCAGTAAACTAAAAGATTCTATTGCTATATCTTATTACAATAAAAGAGTAGATATTTTACTTATCATTTGCATGTGTTGTATAAATTGGTTGAATTAAAATGTCTGTATTTGTACAAGTGGCGACCTGGTTGAAAAATATTAAACATCCAATGATACTTTGGAGATTAATTACTATCTACAGTTGTGAAAGCCGAATCCTCCTAGCTGAGAATGTGTAACAACTCTATGTTTGGCCACTTGTTTCCGGAGCATTTCCGATATCTAGTAGCAACACAACGTTAATAATGCAGATCTTTGGACTGCATTATGATATTTCAGTTATAATCACCATCTTAAAGTACCAACTTTGGCTTCTTGGACAAACTTTACAAACGTCATCCCGCTGAATTTCACTCTGAACCTGTGTGGGAAGGAAATTAGTTTATGGCATGTACCCGTGATATAAAAAATGACGGTATATGATTGAGGTCTCACAGTCCACCTCGACTTCTCGATTGGGAACCTTACTTGTAGGAAAGAGTGGCTTACGAAGCTTCAGAAGTTAGTAATGATCCTGTTGTAGTTTCATGTCGAATTTCTCCTGAAAGTAACATTGCTATCCTCAACTAGAAGAAATCTGTTGCAGTTTTGCTTTCAACAAAACTATATTTTAATCAAGGATCCTCGGTGTTTATTGGCATGGTGATTTTACGACTATTGCCTCCTTTCTTGTTCACATGATTGTCACTTTTTTTGCTAATGTTTCTTTCGTGCCTTACTGAATTAGAAACACTGTGTGCTATAAGTAAATAAATAAATAATGACAATGGTGAATGTGTATTTGGTTCCACTAGTCTGGTTACGAAATTATTGTTCTTACACATGTTTATTCTCTATTCTCCATGTCAGTCTATTATCCAATGAATAATACTATGTTGCACTTCGGCTAACCCTAATCACTCTACTACTCGGGCAGAAATAACACCTTGGAGATAACAGTAGCTAGGACTGAGCTACACATATTGAAACTATTTCAGTCGATCAATGTCCACAGTCTTATTAAGTGATTCACTGTCTGTACCTAGTATCTATCGAAATTCTTGACAAGATTCAGGCAATCAAAAACATGAAGACAGCAATTAACAACAACCGAAGAAGAGCAGAGAATGTCAAGGTACAGGACGAATACACAGAAGCAAACAAGCGACTGAAGATAGGCATTATAGTTGACAAGTAGAAATATGTGGAAGATCTAGTAGCGACAGCGGAAAAGGATGTAAGAGAAGAAACTAGTAACAACTACATGACACAACAAAGAAACTGACAGTAAAATGTAGTACACTGGAGAGATCGGTCAAGGACAAAGTAGGCCAGTCAATCATTGAGATCCAAGAACAGACGAACAGACAGGTAGACCATCTCGAGGATCTCTTGAATCGGCCAGCTCCACTGAACCCACCGAACATCGAAGCAGCACGCACAAACCTCCCCATGGATGTCACTCCACCAACGATCGAAGAAATCAGGATGGTCGGTTATCAGACAAATGAAGCAGCAGGATCTGACAATATACCAGCTGAAGCACTGAAGTCAGACATAGAAGTAACTGCAAAGATGCTCCACGTTCTAATCAGGAAGATTTGGAAGGAAGAACAAGCACCGTTAGACTGGAAATAAGAACACCTCACCAAGATACCAAAGAAAGGAGATACGAGAAAATGTGAGAACTATAGAAGCATCATAAAACTATCGGTACCAGGAAAAGCCCTCACATACCTCATTCTAGATAAGCTCACGGTAGTTTTATGAAGGTAAACACTTCATTTTTGACGTTGTCTAATCGAAGCTGCTTGATTACTTAGTTGCATTATACATGAGATTTTTGTAGAAACGAAAACTTCGTAAATTAAAACCAAATTTAGAGAATAATAAAGTTGTTAACATAATCATAAGTCCAAATATTTATTATTATATCAGAGTTTTTAATACGTTATTTAATGTTTTCTATAAATAAGAAAGTACATGTCTGTGATACACTTTTTTCTATCATTTCTGGTAGTTTTTTTATTACTGGTATCAGTACGCTTTGTATGTGAATGAATGTGTTGTCTTTTATCTTCAAGAGTTTCAATCATTATGATGTTGACTGTGCTATATTTCTTTTTCTTATAGTGGACTCTGGGATATTGAAACTGGCCAACAAGTTGCTACTTTCACAGGTCATACAGGCGATGTAATGAGTCTTAGTTTGGCACCTGATCTACGGACATTTGTTTCAGGAGCTTGTGACGCATCGGCAAAAGTTAGTTTCTATTACTTAAAATTCATTCTCAATAATTTAATATAATTTTGGCGTAATCTTAGTAATAATTATGTTCTTTTCTAAAAATAGTCTTTTTTCAAAAGTTTCGCTTTTGTTTGGTGGAAATAGGAAGAATTTTTTTATCGTTTATAAAGGTTCATTGTAAACGCCCTGAAAAATTTATCCTTGTCTATGGCTGTCATGAAATAAAGCTGAAATTCACACGCATTCTCTTATTTTCATTTAATTAATCAACCTCTGTTGCTATAGTAAGTAGTATTTAGTTCTTTTTTTACTCATGTGTACTGGTTTTTGGGCGTACACGGTCACCAGTTCGAACTTCGAAAAATATCAAAGAAATAAATATAAACACGTGCTAATATATATATATATATATATATATATATATATATATATATATATCAACTAATTGCTCACGCGTTTCTGATATTTAATCGATATAAAATAAGCTGATATAATAGCTTTAGAATATAAAACCCTGTACAGGCCAGTAACATTGCTTTTCGATTTCTTTATTTATTGATTGCTATTGTCTATTTACCGACCATTCTTATGCGCCTGCCTTGTCTTTCTATCTCTCTCATTCTTTCCTACCCCTGGCTTGAAATTTTATTCCATCTCTAGTTTCTAATGTAATGAATGCCTGTCTGTTTAACGTTAGTGCGTTGCATGTCCGTTCAAAAGCTTTTTTAAATTTTTGGCTCGGCAAGCATTGGCCATACATCACTAATAAAAATATCTAACGCTACGAATATAATCCACGCTCAGATTCCTTCTTCCAGGGTAATAACGGTAAAATAACTTAATACTAATTTTTCTACTGGTCTAGGTCACTGTGGTTAGAATGAAATGATACTCCTCTTCTTTAAGTATTATGCTGATTGATCTTTTGGTTTGTTAACAGAAAAAAATCCTCAAGTGTGACTCATAGGGATTTGAATGTGATGTATTTTCCTATCACACCAGCCTCTTCGCTTAAGTTAATATATCTTAATGCATCTGTGATTTAATAAATAGTACAACTACTTGGTTCCAGGTTCAAACCCGTTTCACTCACTTCCATTACGCAAATACAATCAATTCCACGAATTTGTACTTGATGAATAAATGATATTAAGTTACGGAAAAATCTGTACGACGTAAAAAATGTCATTCTGTTCTATCAACTTATCTAAAGAAAAATCAGTCTGTAAAAGAAATAAACTGTTAAACATGGTTGATGCTCAAATGTAGATACATTTTATCTATAGAAGAAGAACACAACTAATTACTTTATGTTTTCATAGTTTTCCAATTTTTAGGTTTTTCTATCATTTGATTATCACGAAACAATCTAAATGAATATGCCAATACAAAAATCTTGTTTACTATTGACACCACTGATTGTTAATATGTTCACTAAATCGGTTGATCTTGCATCTATATATTGTGTTATTTTTACTCAATACTTCACATCTGATCATAACAAAAGCTTCCAGTGAAAAGGTAATAAACACTGTCCGTTCTTGTTAAGAGATTTAGTTATAGTGGAAAATCTTTGAGATATTTCGTACACTTCGTATATCGATTGTTCGGATGACCGTTATTACAATAATTCCTCAGCAATGTATAAACTTTACAAGACAGTATGAAGCTCTGAATATAGTTTATCTGTGCACAACATGGATAAAAATACCACCAAGCACGATTTGAGTAACCAACATTTAGCGTATTAGAGGAGTATATGTTTAGGATGTAACACGTGATCAATCATGCATGATCATTAAAACCTGGGAATACTAATGCAAAGATATGGGCAAACTGTTGCCGACAAAAATGACACTGTCTATCAGATTTAATTCAAGGGCTTAATAAACTTAAAAATGTGCAAACTGAGGTGTAGGTGAGGGCCTTATAGGATCAATTTTATTGAAAAAACTGCACTTAGGTTTCCTTTGCTTATGTTATGTAATGCCATTCAGAAACAGCTTTCAGCGTCATGCTTTTTTGGTTTTGTAGGGATTGTTATTATTTATGTTTGATTCTTTTATGATTTGCACTTTTCCTTAGGCTGTTTAAATTGAGTTATGTTCTCAAAATGAATGTGATTTTAATAGATTTCTATTTCACCAAATGTACTTTTTTCTGTACTTTGCAACAATGGTGCATAATATTAAATCATTTATAGATGACATCTGTCTCTGGTCGACATCAGTTATGTCATTAAAATCCAGAGAAGACTAAGCTGTTCCATCTTGGTATAGGCTTGCTCACCGGTGAACACACACCACACCATTGGGAATCGGACGCAGGATCTTAAGGTTTGGTACCTAATCTTTTACTCGGACCACTGACTAGGAATCCAATTCTCTTCGTTGGTATATTTAATCAGTCCACGATATAGCACTGTTATCATTTAATGTCATCGATAATCATTATCATTTATTTATTATCGTGCAGAAAAATCATCTCTAAGAATAACATTTCTATATTTTTTTGATATTTTCAATCAACCAAGTTAATACCTAAATTAGCAATGTACATTGAGAAATTATTGACTTTATTGGTAATAATAATATTTTGTTGGCACCAGTTTTGGTTTTTAGTAGTTAAACCATTGAACTTTCAACTATTAGCTTTTAAGTTTTAATCCGTCTACTTTGGTTGTAGTATCACAACTAACTATCATTAAAATATGTGTATCGAATATGAAAACAAATTTTCACTTATTTAATCGATTTCATATTAATGGTAATAAGTAATAATTTTTTCAAAGGCTTTTTTATGTTGTTGGATAGATACTGTTTATTTTGTCTGAAATTTGTTTGAAATTTATTAACTACTTTGTTCTATTTTTACTCTTGAAATAAATGTCAAATGTTTTTATGACGAATGTTATCCAGTTATGTATTATCCAGCACTGATAAGCTTTCTATCAAAATTATTCACACTAACAAACTATGATTTTTAAATTGAAATAGTTTGGTTTCTTGTTTTGTTTTTAGAAATTTCTGTAATTTTATGGATCAAGGTAAGGTGTGTTATGATGACAATTAACGTAAGGTACGTATATGAATGACATTTGTAGGTTACTAATATTTGATCACAGATGCCTCCAAAGCATTTCTCGCGTATGTTGGAACCACCGAGTAAACACTGCTGAGATTAGATTAAGAATATCACTTAAAAATATCAAATCAGTTGTTGAGGTAATGAGTTTCCATTGACTAAGGTGGTTGGGATCTGTCTCGCTAGGATGGAAGATAACTGTTAAACCAAGATATAACATAATCCCATGAAATCATTGACTATTGGACTAAGCTGTGTTTCCAAGTGTAGGCTACCTATTTAAAGTCCTCGTAATAATCATGACCAGTGTTTAAAAGACGTTAGGCAACATGGTTCATTATCGACCACAGTGGTTCAGATTCATTCACTGTTTTCCTCCCCTTAGATCTTGATTTCCAAAATTATTTTGTACTTTCTGTTCGATTAGTTATTATCTTCTTTCAAACCGTACTGTTTATGCCTAATTTTTCTACAACATCTGGTCTGGGTTTTTTATAATTCTATCTCCTCTTGCTGATATGATGTAATAACTTAAATGCATACACATATGTCCCAGATTCTATGTTGCATATGACTGGCTGATTCATTTGAAAAATTTATCTTTATTGATAAAATCTTTGTGAAACGTGTATGTTTTTTTTCAAATTTCTTGACCTAAAAGCTATGGGATATACGTGATGGTCAATGTAAACAAACGTTCACTGGACATGAATCAGATATCAATGCAATTATATTCTTTCCGAGTGGTTTGGCTTTTGCAACTGGTAGCGATGATGCAACCTGTCGATTTTTTGATATTAGAGCTGACCAAGAAATTGGAATGTTTAGTCATGATAATATTATTTGTGGAATAACAAGTGTTGCTTTCAGTAAAAGTGGACGATTACTACTTGGTGGATATGACGATTTCAATTGTAATATATGGGATACACTTAAACAAGAACGTGCTGGTATGTTATGTTCTTTTCTATTTATTTTTTAAAAACAATCTCTGCTACATAGTAATTTATTATCTACATGGTAATACAGCACAACTAAATGTATTTACTTTGTCTCGTTACTTCTAATAAATATACAAACTTTAATAAAAATTCTCCGAAACACTAATTCATTTTGTCTAAATCTCCAATCCTGAAAATAGTTGCTTAAAACTGTAGAATTGACATATAATTCCCATTTAAACATTAAAAATTAAAAACATCAAGTTCAGCGAAGGGATCTCTTTTCAACGAATTTATTATCAAGCTGTACAATCGTATATATATATATATATATATATATATATATATATATATATAGTTCTATTTTAAATTGTACTAACTGTATTTAGTGTTGTTATTCAAAGAATTGTTGATATTATGTTATTAAACTCGACAGTCTAATTGAGTAAAGGAATTTTCACGTTGCTTTTTTAATCGAATAATATATATTTACATGTAAGCTGAATTAGGATTTTGTCGGTGATTGTAATCAGGTTCATTGTATTACGCACACTTTCTCTTTCCTCAACAATGAAAATAAAATGTAAGTTGGTGATTACCTATATGAGATATACATGATTTTATGTGTCTATCATATTCCATAGCTTTTAAGGTCCTTTAGATAATATTATTATGATAAACAATACAACATTAGAAAATTATTGCAATGAACAAATTTTGATAATACCGTTTACTTTCATTACATAACTTTCTTATTAAACATTCATTATGAATGGCAATTAGGATGTAAGAAGTAGTTTTTAAATTCAATTTCGTACAGTCATTATTATGTAATTCCAAACTATTGTCTGTATTTCGTGTTATTGCTTCGTGAATACATTGGCTGTATAAATTAAAATGTCCATTTTACTTATTAGGTTACACCAAATACTAATTGTTTGAATATGTTAACAATAGTATCTACCTACGTAAAAGGAAGAAAAAACTAAAGTCCACTTCAGTTTATAACTAATTAATAATAGATTGAATGTTTCTACATCATAATTTACACTGATATTTTTATTACTGTACAATCATAAGCTTTGTCTTCAAACCTTACACATACTTTAATTTATATGACAAATAGTCACTTTTAAAGAGCAAACATAATTCAACTTTATATAATTGTTTGTTTATCTCTCACTTCTTTTAATTTCAGGTATATTGGCTGGACATGATAACCGTGTTAGTTGTTTAGGCGTGTCCGAGGATGGTATGGCAGTATGCACAGGATCATGGGATAGTTTTTTGCGAATATGGAACTGATAGAAAAACAAAAGAAGGAATTCGAATCATTTGTTTAAATGTGTGAATCTCTGCACTGTCAGTTTTTTTCTCTTGGTTGCCGATATTGTTGTTTCGTTTTTTGGTCAACAAAAATAAATCAAATAAATAAACAAACATAGGATTGCAATCAATCTAGTAATGCAAACAAATTGTTTTCTTTTTTTATCACTGATTGTTCCTTCTGTCTCTCCCAGTTTTCACTTTTTTGTTTCTCACACACTAGAAACACAATCGCAATTGACTTATTATTAATGAGATAGTCTGTCAGAAGTTTATTTTTCCGTTCCTTTTTTTGTTTCTTCTTTTACTGCTTTGAGTTTCACACTGCGTAATGAATGAGCTATGTGTGTTTGTGTATGTGTTTTCTAGCAAAGTAAGCTATCAAATCCTCTTGTTATCTGAGTTTTTCTCAATTCAAGTGTTTTTCTTTTGGTCAGCTTTTTCAAAAGATAGTTTACAATGTTGTAAGTCAATCAGTCATTTGTTTATTTTTTTCTCCTACTACTCCTGTTTTCTAGAGTATACTTTTTATTCAATATGTACAAGGCATAAAATGTATTGAGGTTGTTGTCAAAAGAAGACTTAACTTGTCTTAGTGCGTGTATGTGTAATTCCTTTATAATATTTTATGCTTGATTTCTATTCGCTCTAGCCTCTCTTGCATTTACTTCATAATATAGAAGAGATCTCTGTAATTTTTTTTATCTATATGTTTATTCGCTTATGTGCTAACTTAAAGGCATAACTAATGTATGCACTTAAGCGTTATACATATGAATATATATTTACGTATTTTTCTCTTGCGAATTACTAGAGATTTTTCAGTATCTGTTCGCTTTCATAATCATTTTTTCGGTTTGCCTTGAATTATACAACCTCTTGGATCTTGTACCTAGAGCGTTTGTATGTGGTACGAACACACACTGTTTTCAGCATTATTCTCTCTCAACTAGTCGCTTTATAATTCCTGTAATCATTTCCTTTACAGTTATAGTCGTTAATTTGTAAAATTTAACATAATTGTTCATTTCTGGGCTGTTGTATTCATTTTTCTCTATTTGGTGCATTTCTTATAAGTTTGCTTTGTGTTTTACAACAACTATTGCTGCTATGAACACTACTACTACCAAGTCTGTCTATTTGTTTACGACTCAATCCACTAATGAATAATGTGACTTTGCTAGAATAAAAATAAAGAAGACTGTTAATTGTGTTTAAATGCCCGGTTAAATTAAAAATAAGAAATCTATTGTGTATTTACAGTATATAAAGTAGAGTATATTTTATTTCAGAGAAAACTCCGGGTTATTGAATAGTGCTAAAAAAGCAGTGATGATTATATAACAAAAAGAAGTTTGTAATCCATTAAATTCTTCATTAAAAACAAAACGTTAGTTGTATTCTTTTTGTTATATTAATACTAATTTCTGTTTAACTTTGAGAATGTATTGTTTTACCTTTGTTTTCTATAGTTCTTGTGTGTTGTTCCCCATGATCTATGTAACAGAGGGCGTTCGTTGTGTACTTATAAACAGAACTCTTTTTTGACCTGATCTTCAACCTTCTTTCCAATACTTAGAGGTTTTTTTCAATTTGGGTTTTTTTTCCTTCTGTTGCACACTACGTTAGTCACTTCATTCTTTTATAGTATGGTAACAAACTGGACTGCTTTTCCGGACAAAATTCATTGATACCTTTAACAACAACAAACTTAATGCATTTCACAACACTTTTTATTTTAGGCTTCTTAAGACGGATCGACTATAGTGTTTTTCTTTACTCACCGAGTTGAGTTTTGTGTTTTCTGATCATTGATAATTGGTGGGCAAGTTATTATCTGCCAATTTATTTTTTTCTGTATGTGTAAGACAAAACAAAATCCTATCAACCTGAGGTTGTTTTGTTTTGCAATGCATCAGGTTTTCGCATAATTACTCACATGTGTAACATTTTACAGAATTACACGTAAAAAATTGAGACTAATTCAATTGAAAAAAAACAATTTAGAACTTGTGATTTTATCTTTTGTTCTTTGTCGTATTTCACTATGAAGTGTTTTATGCTTATGTTGGCAATAATAATGTTTGCAAACATCATTAGTAATACAAGTGATGTAGAACAAATTACTTTTGTTAATGCTTTTCACATAATACTGCTTCATGATACTGTAGAAAATATGGGAAGTAATTGGTCAGGTGAAATATCATTGCGAGTTAGATGTGAAAAAGTAGAAAACCATGTTAATACCACGATTGGTTTTCATCTAACAAAATAGTGTCAAACGAGGATAGGGAGAAGGATTTTGAAACAATAAGGAAGAATCATAACTCAGTGGGGAGTTTATTGTTTGTAAATTGTTTTTCTTTAATATAGATCATCTCATTAATTTTCTATGCGACGTTACTAATAGTAAAAATCTATCGGAATTTCCCCATATGATGATAATAGCTTGTCCTGTCGGTATGAAATGTAGTTAGCTGCTGCCACCGTCACCGTTTGGAAAGTTATTCTGTTAGCCGATTTTAGCTAATCTAGATTATTACTTTTGAAAAATTTTCAATAACTTACAAAGCATCACGAAAATGCGGACCTTAATGTGTGTTTGATTTGAGTAATGTAGTCAAGTTTCTAATATGATCTCTTTCACTCTATTAGGACTGCTAGATTCTGAATCCACAGGAAATTAATGTTTTCGACTAATAACTGTCTATTAGGTTATATTCTACACAACATATTTTTTTGAAACATCATAATACCTAAATTACCCTAGAAATCAGTTTATTGATACATATCAAATACATGACCGTTTTAACAGTGCAAGATTGATTTGGAATTAAACCTTTTTTAAAAACTTCCATGTTCACCTAGCGAGTAATTATTTGCTAATTAACAGGCAACTAATGGTCATACTAGTCTATGCTTATATATATCTGAACTCGGTAATATGCGTTTACTCTCATGAGTAACAATTTACTTGAATAAATTATCTACGTAACCATTGGATAGATTTATTTAGAATATTTATTAACTGATAGTTCATCAGTAAGATTTAACAAATACTCCATAAATATTATAATTTAGTTTAAGTTGACTATTAGACACCATTGTTAAGGTGATACCGCTATAATGACTATTTCTCCATAAGTTCATGTATTTGAGGTACATTCAAATGAAGAATTATTGGTTCCTAATGACTTCGAAAGTAACTTTTGAACAGTAGATATTATTATTTACACGTGTTAAGAGACTTAATTTATCTAAAGTTGCTTGTAATTATTTCAACCTTACACCTTTTTTTCGAAAAAATAGATAGTATTTTGTAAAATATAATGAATAAGTTTATCGTCTTATTTTTCTGGTTAGTGAGTTTTTCCACGGGATGGGGTCGCGAACCCCATACTCAAACCCTCCTTTACCCGGGTTTGAGACCGGCAGTAACTCTGAAAGAGCTACAGGCGGAGTTTAGTTCATCGTCTAGTCACACATTATAAAACAGGTCATAAAATAGTTTTTGCAATATTATGTTCAATTGTAAATTTTTCAGATTATTCAATATTTTCATAGTTGAAAACATGAGTCCAGTGCTTCCAGGTTTTCCATGGTGGTCTAGCTTCAATTGACTCATGATTTCAACTATGAAAATACTGAAATCTCCACAGAACTCCTGATTTATAATCATATGCTCACTAGTGACTGACTTCAAGGGATGTTTCCTTGAGTTCTAGTGGGAAGCAGTGACCAGTGAAGTTCAACCAAGTCTGTTGTAGAGATATCAACTCACTGAAGACAATTGGTGAACGGTTGCTCAAACATTGTGGATTGGTTGAAGTTAGACATTAACACCGTTGGATGCCGGCTCAGTGGTCTATCAGTTAAGTGCTCTGGCGCGAGACTGGTAGGTCCTGTGTTCGAATCTCGCGATTGCGGGATCGTGGACGCACACTGTTGAGGAGTCCCATAATAGGACGAAACGGCCGTCCAGGTTTTCCATGGTGGTCTAGCTTCAATTGACTGATGGTTTCAACTATGAAAATACTGAAATCTCTATTCCATATTTATCTTTATTGAATAAATAAAAAATAACATCAAAAAATTATTATTCATAAGTTATCGATAATACTTAGTTATCAATTTCTCCAACCACTCATATTTGATGATTTTTTTTCGAAAAAAATAAAATAAGAAATTACTAAATGGGTGTAACATAAATCTATTACATTTTAAAATGAATTCGTGTCTATCAACTGAATATAAAAGAATTTATTTAAACAAATTCTATATGCTTCAATAGTTAATAAAAAAATTTTTTGAATATTTAATATTTCTTTCAAATATTATGTCAGTTGATTATTCTTAAAGAGTTTACATTAGAATAATTTCTAAGGTGTTACAATTTATTCAGTTCAAACAATTGAGTTAACTAAGATTATTAATAAGTAGATCAATTGATTTCATTCTTAATCTAAATGTTTTTTTTAATATCTGGAGCATAATCAACTGTTCTTTAATGATAGTAAAAAGGAAATCTGTGTTGTAAACAAGTGACTGAAATTTCTCTAATGGCACCTGATCAGGTTTAATTCGAGTAGATCAATGATGATATTGTCTCAGGTAAATGAACTGTTCAAACCCGTCATATAATGTACAATATCTGTTATTGGTCTTTTTTTTAAGAAACCCTATCTTGTGGTGTTAATTGCTTTCGGATATGGAAATAAAAATCACTTTAGAGAATTTATTCAACTACAAATGGGACAAAATATTGTGAAAAGTTCTGCATATAAACAGTTTTATCTTATTGTTTATAACTGTGAGATTAAATTATATCTTTTAAGATGTTTCAAATTGTCACTAGTAATCAACTTAGATTTATGCAATTGGTTCCCTTTATGAATTTAAATAAAGCAAGAACAAACATTGATGCAGAATAGTATGAATTCATATTATTTCGAGGTTTCTCGTCAGCTGCTTACAAACCAAAATTGTTATAGAATTTTTACATGAAGATAGTGTGAAACAATTGACATAAATGAGTGTAAATAACGTGATTACAATAATAACTATATATATATGCTAGAGACAGGTCAGAGGTCAAAAGAGGGAGGTTAATCCAGGATGGGTGGTGTAATAATTTAGTGAAGTTCATAAATTGTGTGATAATTGTAGAGATTAATGGAATTGACTAATGATACGGTAGATTACGTAATAATAATTAAATAGGGTTTGGAAAGTTAAGATGATTTAAGAGGATCAGGTGGTGGAAATGTGTGAATAAAATTTATTTTAAGAATTAGGCAATAGGGTGGGGGAGTAAAATTATCTTAGAATAAGTAAATGAATAAAATAACCAAAACACAAAACAAACAGAAACAAAAGGATTACCAGGGTAGTGATAAGTTTATTAAAGTCTCTTTTTGGATGCATAAGTCCGGTTTCAGTTTCTTAATTGCAATGGCTTCAGCAAAGCGGAGAGTGGTAGTGGTTCTTTGTCTATTGATAATTTTAAACGCGCACATAATATCGACGGTATGCCCGGTGTCAAGTAGATGCCGAGCTATTGCACTGTTAAAAGCTTCAGTCCCTCGCAGCGTCAAGTTCTTCGGAATATGCTCAGAAATGCGAACCTGTACTCTTCTCTCAGTTCTTCCAATGTATGTGCTACGGCACGTACATGTGAATTGGTAAATGCAGTTGGAGCAACAGAGGGGAGAGGACTTGTCGATTTTCGTTTGTTTCAGTGAACAGTATGTTTTCCATAACGTAGTCACTTTGGCTGCCGGGTAGGTCACTTTTAAAGCGGAATTAATTCTGTGATTGATAATTCCGGCGATTTCATCTCCTTTGAAACGTAAGGATAGGAAGCAGGTTTTCTTTTAAACTGTATCATGCTTAATCGGAGGGTTTGTATTAGCATATTTGTGGATGAATTTATCCGGATATGCATTTTCGCGTAGGCATTTGGTAATTGTAGTAATTTCTTCTTCGAGGCATTCTTTTGAGCAGATTTTTCGTGTGCGGTCAAAAAGGTTTCGCACAATACCCTTTTTATAGCTCATTGGACAGAAGCTGTTAAAGTTGAGATAGACTCCGCTCCAAGTATTTTTGCGGTGAATGTGTCTTTGTAGTGTGCCGTCCGATGTTCGCCTAATTCCAATATCTAGGAAATGGAATTTATCATCAACTTCATGTTCCATGGTAAATTCTATATCTTTGTGTGCTTTATTGAACAGACTTAGTAGGTACATGGAGTGTTGGTGATTTTTGCAGACAAGGAACGTGTCATCCATATATCTGCAGTAGAGTGTGGTACTGTCGATTGCGTGCTTCAGTTTCTTTTGTTCCAGATGTCCCATAAAAATGTCGGCAAGAATTGGGCCTAGAGGGCTGCCCATTGCTATTCCATCAATCTGTCGGTACAGAACATTGTTAAATTTAAATTGTATGTTTTTTGTACACAAAAACAGGAGCTGTTTAAATTCCTGGGGTGGTAAAGGCAGGAGTTCTGGATATTCACATATGATCTCTGCCGTTTCTTCAAGGGGGATATTTGTGAAAAGCGAAGAGACATCAAATGAAGCCATGAATTTGTCAGAGACATTAAGGTTATCAAGTTTTTGTACAAATTCAAAGCTGTCTTTCAAACTGTAGGCTGCTAGTTTTTTGCGGATTGTTTCCAAGCATCTAGTAAGCCAACGGGCAAGTTTATGGAAAGGTGATTTGGCCATCGATAATATTGGTCTTATAGGGACGTCGGGTTTATGTGTTTTGGGTAGCCCATATAAGTATGGCAATTGTGACCCTTTTGGTTTAAGTTCGTTATACGTATGATTATCTATTAGATTTTTCTTAACAAGTTCTCTCAACTTTCTTAAGACACGTTTCTCTGTCGCATCTGTTAAGTCTTTCTGGGTATTGTCAATGATAAATCTAGTGGAGTTATTTAAAATGGTCATTACCTTATTGATATATTCATCTCTGTTAAGAAGGACTACACTGGAACCCTTATCCGGACGAAGTAGCATTATTGTTTCGTCTTTAATAAGTTTTTCCAATGCTTGATGGTGGTCTTCAGTGAACACCCTTGAGTGTGGGATTGGTGTCGTAACATACTGGTTTGTGATATCAAATATTTCAAGTCAACAAACTTAAAGCAGATAGAATAATAGTTGAAAGTTGTACGGTATAGTAATATCCTTACATTTTAAAACTCCTTTGCCATGTTTGGAGATAGAATATCCACATAACACAAATTAGTCGAAATCAATTGGGAAAAGACGTATAAACTGCATATATCAGTCAGTCAGCTACAACGTAGGACCAGACACACTTATGCATTGGTCAAAGTTGCCATACCTCGTTAGCACAACAAGATGAATACCGAATTCATAGAAGTAGTTAATATAGTGGTGGTAATATATAAAAGAAAGATTGTATATAAGGATATAGTACATGAAGAAAGATAGTAAAGTTTTTGATGAATCAAA